TGTTGTTCCTTGTCACAGTCCCATAGATTGCCCAGCTGGCCACCCTGCCTCCCCTCCACCTGCCACGCACAGTCCAGATTCAGAGCCTCTGCATTTGCTGTCGCTTCTTCCCCAGAACATTTTTCTCCAGATCTCACCTTATCTTACGTACGTGGGTGTTGTCTGATTCCTTTTCCTTTAATATAGTGCTGAAAGGGCAGGAGGCACTATTTGCCTAGTGCCTGCAATGGTGCCCGGCCCACACCAGGCAACAATAGACTCCTCTTCCCTTTATTTTGCCTGCAAACACCAAAAATTACCTTGCATTTTTTTCAATTTGCAAAAATGTTGCAACTTTAAAAATCTCAGCCTATATTTTATTGCCAATTTTCCATTTGTGGTGCCTAGGAATGCATTTTCATTTTAACACTAATACAAGTTAAACATAACAAGGTGGCTATTTAATCACATGATTTATATATGTTGTATATTCCTAAAGCTAGAAATGAGTGAACACTGTGAGTCAACTGCTCTATAACATTAGCCTTTTCATTTGTGTAAAAAAAGCGTCACATGACTATAGTTATTTACTTCAAAAAGCATTTATTTAGCATCTTTGCTATCCTAAGTGCTGAGATGGTTTGAAAAAGGAGTCTAGCCATAATTGCGGTCCCGTTTAGCGAGACAGTCTGAAAAATTTAACATACGGTATTAAGGGCTCGGAGAGAGGGCATTTAATCCTGCTTGGGGGTCCAGGAAGTCTGCCTGGGGGCAAGTGCCTTAAATGAAACTCAAAGAGTGTCTTGGGCAGAATGATGGTTCCCCAAGGATGCTGAAGTCCTACTGCCTGGAACCTATGATACGTTACTTTACGTGGCCAAAAGGAATTAGGATTGTGGATGGGATTATGGTTGCTGATCAGCTGATCTTAAAACAACATTGCTCTGTGTTATTTGGGCGAGTCTTTAAAAGTGGGAGGCGGCAGAAGACAGAGTCAGAGTGATGTGATGTGACAAGCACTAATCTCCGTGAAGGTGGAGGAAGGGGCCATGAGCCAAGGAATGCAGGGAGCCTCTAGAAGCTGCAAAGGGCGAGGAAACAGAGGCTCCCCTAGAGCCTCCACGAGGGAACACAACTTTGCCAACGCCTTGATTTTAGCCTGTGAGACCCATGTCAGACTTGTGACCTGCAGAGCTGCAGGATGATAGATGTGTGCTGTCTTTAAGCCACCAAGTTTGTGTTTGTTACAGCAGCCATAGGAAATGAATACAAAGAGGAAGAGGTGATTTTTTTTTTTTTTGAGACAGAGTCTCACTTTGTTGCCCAGGCTAGAGTGAGTGCCGTGGCGTCAGCCTAGCTCACAGCAACCTCAAACTCCTGGGCTCAAGCAATCCTGCTGCCTCAGCCTCCCGAGTAGCTGGGACTACAGGCATGCGCCACCATGCCCGGCTAATTTTTTCCATATATGTTAGTTGTCCAATTAATTTCTTTCTATTTATAGTAGAGACAGGGTCTCACTCTTGCTCAGGCTGGTTTCGAACTCGTGACCTCGAGCAATCCGCCCGCCTCGGCCTCCCAGAGTGCTAGGATTACAGGCGTGAGCCACCGCGCCCGGCCGAGAGGTGATTTCTGATTTCACCTCTGGTGGGAAGGAAAGGGCTATCAGAAGATCTAGTATATATATGAACTGTATGGTAAAATGCTCACCTTGTTATGTTCAACTTACATTAATGTTTAAATTAACATACATTGCACCTGTAGTCCCAGCTACTCAGGAGGCTGAGGCAGGAGGATCTCTTGAGGCCAGGAGTTTGAGGCCAGGTTGGACAACATAGCAAGCCTCCATCTCTTTAAAAAAAAATGCATTCCTGGTTATGAAAAGTGAAAAAAATGGCAGTAAAACATACATTAAGATTTTAAAAGTTATAACATTTTTACAAATTGGAAAAATGGAAGGTAACCTTTGGTGTTTCCAGGCAAAGGAAAGGAAAGAGGAGGCCCAAGCTCTCCTTAGACTCTAGGCCACTGCTCCTTTCTGGGGGAAAGACTACCTCCCAGGCATTTCCTCTATTGGGTTTCTCTTAAACCTCAAATTCAGGATGCTCACTGGTACCTGTGACTGCTTTGTCACTGATGGCTTGTCACAGGCCCCGATGATAGGGAAGTTGGCCCTGAGATGGCTGCAGTCACCCCTAACCCCACGGCCAGCCTTTCCCACTCTGCGTGTCTCGCTCGGGAGGTGCAGCCACGTGTGTGAGCCAGTTTGGGCCTCCACTGCTCTCACCCAAGACCCCAAGGGAGGGAGCAGACAGCGCCTGGGAAGGTGTCACTGCTAATGAATGACACTCACTTCCAAAATGAATAAGCCTTCTAAGTTCTTAGGAAAATCCACTCGAATGGAGTCTCCAGAATGACTAATTGACAGAACTGGTTAAATTAATAAAAAATGAAAATGAGGATGGAAGAAGGGGGAAGGGATTCTATTTTTACTCCGTGGCTTGGGCCTCGCCTGTGCTGCTTTTAATCGCTGCTGTGAGCTCAAATGGGGTAGGGCAGCTCAGACACTGGTAGGTGGGTAGGTGGGGGTGGGTATCACTGAGTTCTGTTCCTGCAGCAAGGCTGTTTGGCTTTTCTCCAGGGTGGGGAGTGTGTGTGTGTCTGTGTGTGTTTGTAATCCTGTCATCAGCCAAAAGTATTTTAATAAAGGACTTTGTCATTTTAACCTAACCAAGCCCCCCCCCGAAATAAACACTGTTAATTATGCCCCAGATCAATATTGAACCCCTTTTGGAAGCTGCGCCAAACCTCGGAGGCTTTAAGATTCATTGCAGCTGCAGTCTCAGCTGATGTCTTTGGACACATTCCATCAGAGGCCTGGGGAACGAGCCGCAGGTTTATTAAGGGATCGAGTGGCTTACAGAGCCAGGGCTCGGCAATTCTGTTTATAGATGAGGGTGAAGAATACGAGTGGATTTCCCGTTCTGCGCAATGGCAGAGCTAATCCTACAGTCAGAAACGATCAGATGGGGGGGGGGGGTGGTCCAGCCGATGGGATTGTGTAAAATTCAGCCCCGTGAAATTATCCTTTTGGGTGTTAGATGAAGATCATACTCTTTTCTCTCCCTGCCAAATAGCCAGAAGAAGGATGAATTCTCCTGGTAGCAGACAGATGTGGGTGCCAATCTCAGGCCCTGCACTGTGATCTGGAGCAAGTTTCTCTCGGTGCCTCATCTGTAATGTGGAGGTGCTAATACTGGTCTTCATGGGTTGTTGTGAGAATTAAATGAGATACAGAAGCGTTCAAAAATAGCAATGCACCCGCCTTTACTACACCCGCCTTTGGAGGAAAATGAAGTTTCTGATTTGGATTATTAGGTTGGGCATCAGCCTTGGCCCTATTCTCATTGGAACTTTCCCGAGACTACACTATTGACTTAAACAACTCAGATGTTAAGGCTTAAAATGCGGACACTTTCCCCCCCTCAGCATCAAAAACTCAGATTTGCTTCACACCAGGCCCACGACAGACAGATTTCGGTGTACTCCGGGGCAGATGCTGACGGCCCTGGATAGGAAGCCTGCAGTGGTGGCATCTGAAGGAGGGAAATTCTGTGGCCAAGTCTTGAGCTGCAGGTTGGCCGGTGCGGAAGGGCCTTGCAGCTGGGACTGGTGCTGCAGGGCTGCCCGGTCCCGGCGCCCGAGGGAAGCCCTGGTTCCTCACAATGGCTGTCGGGACGCTCCCTGGCCAGCTTCATCTCCTGCAAGTCCCCAGCACAAGCCATTCCCTTGGAACAGGGCGAGGACTCAATGGCCGGTGACAGAAGGGAGGCAGCCCTGCCCAGACCACAGCGGAACTCAGGGGCCACTGCAGAAGCCACCTCGTGCCAGCAGGGCAGGTGTCCTCATCATACAATTGATTTCATCCAGCAAACGTGCACGGGGAGTCTACTCCCCGTGGGCCGGGCAATGTGCTAATTGCTTTTACTTTAATTAACAGTCAAAGATTTCCATGAGACCAAATCCTGGGATCGCTTCTCCATGACCTTCCAGAAGCATTTGACATAATTGATCCTGGTATCTTTCTAAATTCACTCTCCTCTCTTGGCTTATACATAATACTTTGGATTTCTGCTTAATTCCTTGATGGCTCACATTCCATCTCCTGTAAAAGGCCACCGCCGCCTCCTTTCAACCTCACTGCTCAATGTTGTCATGCCCTTTACCTGTCTCCTGGGCCCCTCGTTCTTCTCCATCCACACCTTCCCCTCTAATTGACATCACCTTGTTCCATGGCTTTAAATATTAATACTAGGACATGCTCATGATTCCTAAATTTATGCCTCTGGCTCAGACTTCTCCCATGACTTCCAGACTCATGTATCCAATTGTCTCCTTGACTTTTCTCCTGGATGACAGACATCTCAATCTGGACACATCCAAAAGAGGATGCTTGCTCTTTCCACACCAACCCTGTTTCCTTCCCCTGTCCCCTTATTTTGTATATGTCACCACTATACCCTTAGTTCCTCAAGCCACAAACCTAAGAGTTATCTTAGATTCTCCCCTTTCCATCACTTCTCTACTTCCAATGTCTCTGCAAGTCCTCTTAGCCTCACCTCCTAAGACCCCGAATGTGTCCACCATTATCATTTCTCCGCCAGACTGTGGCAAGAGCCTTCTAAAGTGGTCTCTCTGCTTCCAGGCTGGCCACCCCTTGCTTTGAGAACTTTTTTTTTTTTTTTTTTTTTTGAGACATAGTCTCACTCTGTTGCTCAGGCTAGAGTGAGTGCCGTGGTGTCAGCCTAGCTCACAGCAACCTCAAACTTCTGGGCTCAAGCAATCCTGCTGCCTCAGCCTCCCGAGTAGCTGGGACTACAGGCATGTACCACCATGCTCGGCTAATTTTTTCTATATATATTTGTTGGCCAATTAATTTCTTTCTATTTAGAGACGGGGGTCTCGCTTTTGCTCAGGCTGGTTTCGAACTCCTGACCTTGAGCAATCTGCCCGCCTCGGCCTCCCAGAGTGCTAGGATTACAGGCATGAGCCACCGCGCCCGGCTGAGAACTCTTTTAAGACCATGAACAGAGGATCCACTTCTGTGCTTCACACAGACTCAGGGCTTTTCCCACTTCCTTTGGAGTGAAATCCAAACACTCTGCCCTGGCCCACAAAGCTGTACCTGATCTTGTCCCAGCCTACCTGTCCCCCAGCCTGCCTGTCACCATCCACTGGTCTTTTTCTCTGTTCTTTGAACACACGAGATTGTTCCTGCATCGGGGCCTCATACTTTGATGTTAGTGCTCTCTGGATCCTTCTGATAATCTAGGTCTCAATTCAAAGGCTTTCCCTCACACCACCCTATGAAAATACCCCCCTACCCCCAGCTCCTCTCTGACCCTGCTTAATTTTCTTATAGCTTTTATCACTGTCTGAAACGATCTTGTTTATTTGGGCATTTGTACATGGTTTTCTCTCCTCCCTGCCCACTAGAAGGTCAACTTCTTGCAGGCAGGAAAGGAAACTAGTAGGTGTTAAATAAATCTTAGTTGAGTCGGTGGTTTCTGGTGTCTTGGTGAAGAGCTGCAGGTCTGATCAAACCCCAGCTTTGTCACTTGCTCTCTGGTGGCCGTAAATGCATCATGTTCCCTTTCAGCTAGTTGTCTCATCTGTGAGATACGGATACTGGTAGCAGGTACCTCCCAGGGTTGTCATGAGGATTGAATGAGCTCACACATGCATACTTGGCTTACTTCCTGGACATAGCAAAATGTCATAGACGTTAGCTGTGACTGAGGCTGTTGACATTACTACTTCTACAGCTATTGCTGCTGCCCTCCCTGTTCGCACTCTTAAAAGACACACGCGGTAGAGGAGCAAGATGGCACCGGCGTTTCCATGGTAACACCGTGCTTACGTGGTACATGCCAGCCGCTATTCTAAGGCTTCACGGATGTCATCGCCTTTAATCCTCACAAGCACCCTATAAGGTAAATACGTCCACTAGCCACACTGTATAGGTAAGTTGAGGCACAGAGAGGGTGAAGTGGCCTGCTCAAGGTCACCATTTAGGCCACGGATAAAGGTTGATAAACTACATTGATTGTCTCCCCTGTTTTTGGCCCAGTCTCTGCATTCACTCACTACCGCTGGCTGAGTTGGACAGAGAGGAAGAAACGAAGCAGAAATGTCCCGGGCTCCTCGCTGCCTTGCCCAGCACCGAAGACAGGTGCGGGGGTAGAGGGGGGTCAGGGAGTTTTGACCTTTCCTGCCACCTGCACCCTAGAGCTGGAGCACCCAGGGGGCCTCCCGTCATCCTCTCCTTTCTCCAAGTTACAGAAGTAAAACTAAACCAGGGCGGGCACCTGGAAAGCAGGAAAGCTGCCCACGTTCCATGGCCTGACGCCGTCCCTTCCACCCTGTCCTGCACGTGCTCGCCCTCACGTTGGTGGCTGCAGTCGTGAGTTTGTCCCTTCACATGCTGCTGTGACACTTACCCTGAGCGTCTCCCCACCTGCCATCCTCCTTAACTGTGTCCTCAGGTCTTTGGCGAGTCAGGTCTCTATGGCCCTTAGAGCTACCCCCCTGCCCCCGTTCTCCTCCCCCTCCCATCCGAGGGTCCCCTTGCCTTTTCTGTGCCCGCTGCTGTGACACGCTCCACTTGTTCGAGACCCGCGCCCTTCGAGACTGGCTTTGCGATAGGAATCAGGCTCCTCAGCCCCTCGTGGCCTCTAAGATCAATCCAAGTCCCGTCTGTTCCGAGAGGCCTTGTTTGAGCGGCACAGGGAAGCAGGCGCCCCCGTCCTGAATCACACAGGGGACCCCGACCAATTGTAGACACCCACGTGCAGGTCACTGCCCAGGCCTTTGGTGCTGCCTGGCTTCTCCCCTGCCTTTAGTAAGGGTGGCCCTCGCTGTGGGCTCACGACCTGTGGTCACCCTGCCCGCCGGGAGGAAGGCATCTGTATGGGTCCCTGCCCAGGCTTCCTGCGGAAAGGGAGCCCCAGACGACGTCTGGACTGCCGGCCCCAGGGCTGTGCTCCTGATGACGTTTCTGTCTGTCCTCTGCTGAGGGCTGAGCCGCGCCCCGCCCCCACGTCCCATGTTGAAGTCCTGACGCCCAGAACCTCCGAAGGTGACTGTATTTGGACATAGGGCCTTTAAACAGGTAATTAAAATAAGGTCATTAGGTGGGCCCTAATCCAATAAGAAAGGGAATTTTGGATACCGACAGGTACAGAGGGAAAGCCAGGGACAGGGAAAGAGGATTCAACCCTGCCCACGCCTTATCTCGCCCTTCTAGCCCTCAGGACTGAGAGACGATGATTTCATCGTGTAAGCCACAGTACTCTGTTACAGCAGCCTTGGGGGACCAGTACACCTTTTTCCATCTGTCTTGTACCACCTGCCTGCCTCCTTACCACGGATGCTCTCAGAAGCCACGCTCCGTGCCAGGCACCATGTAAGTATTGTCCAAACTGAGTGGTCAGTAAGACAAATGATGTCCCTGGCCTCCTAGAGATTACATTCCAGTTGGGGAGACAGAGATGAAGAAAGGCAAACAACTATGATGAGCACTTGGATACAAATAAAGAAATAGGGTGACAAGATAGACATAGGGTGCAGATTGGGTGGGCAGAGAAGTCCTCTCTGAGGAGGTGACGTTTTCTCAGAGATCTAAAAAATGAGTAGATAATCCAGCCAGATGAGGGGTACGGTGGAATAGAATCCAGGCAGAGGAAGAGCCTGTGCAAAGGTCCTGAGGCAGGAAAGGGCTGGGTGTGTTGGAGGTGCAGGAAGCAAGCCAGTGTGGCCACGCTACAGCGAGCTAGGACTGGAGAGCTGGTTGGGGACATGCCTGGGGACACTGGAAAGGAGTTCAGCTTTAACTCCTCTCTCATTTCCCACGATGGCATCCACCACACCTGGCCAGTTTCTCCACCGAGCCCCCAGTACTCTGACTAGCCACGTGCTGCTGCCATCAGCACCCCATCGTTTCAGGCATCTCAAACTGCAAACACAACCCTTGTCACTACCGCCAGAAGGGGCAGAAAAAAACCAGAGAGGCGAGGGAGAGAAGGAATCAACCCTCCCAACCCCTGCTGAGCATGCAGAGCGAGGGACATATGGAAATTAATATATGCAGCTCTGATAGCACGGCTCTCCTCGGCATTTTGATTAAACGCCGACGGTTATTAAATACCCTCCTCCTCCTCCTCCGTGCTCATCTCCGAAAGCCAATGTTGCTTTTCATTTTGAACTCTGATGAACTGTCTCAATTCCATTCACACACCTCGGCCGAACTGCGGGCGACCGTAGGCTGGTGTTCGAGGAAGATGGAGAAAAATCAATATGAAATGTCAGGCGCGGGGTCAGATGGAACTTGTTTTCCCAGCCGGCAGGAGCTGGGGGGCCGCTGCAGCAGCAGCCGAACAAAGGGAGATGTGCACGGAAGGAGGTCGGCACTTTGGATGAGTCAGGAAAATGAATTTTGTTCACTTCTTCATTAGATTAGCAGGCTGACGGGCTTGCAGTTCAGAACTCCACTGGTGAGGGGGTGGGGAGGCAGCACCTGGCAGAGGCCTGCAGGCCACCAGGAAGCTCCTGGGTCTCCCTAGGGACTGTCCCCAGGGCTTTGAGTCTCCATGGCTATGCGGGGCCCAGGCTGGAGAGAGGGGCAGCCCCCGGGACTCCCTGGGTGTGTAGCTTCTGTGTGCCTGCACAGCTCTTTCCTGTGCTCCTCTCCCCCCTTCAAGTCTTCAGGTCTCCGCTCAGCCGTCCTTGCCTCGTAGGGTCCTTGTCACACCCACTTGCACCACCCATGTCTCTCCTACCACTTACTATAGCTGCAATGCTGTATCTGCTTGTGATTCTCTAATTAATGCATCTTTACTCTGTATGTGTCAACTTGACTGGGCCATAGGGTGCCCAGATATTGGGCCAGACATTTAGGGTATTTCTGGAAGGGTCTTTTTGGATGAATTTAACATTTAAACTGATAGAATGAGTAGAGGAGATCTCTCTCCCTAATGTGGGTGGGCCTCATCTAATCAGTTGAAGGCCTGAAGAGAAAAAAAAGTCTGACCCTCCTGCACAGGAGAGGGCATTCATCTGCCTGACTGCCTTTGAACAAGGACATTATTTTATTTTTTTTCCTTTGCACTTGAACCGAAAGCGTGGTTCTTCCTGTGTCTTCTGTTTGCCAACTGCAGATCTTGGGACATGTGAGCCTTCATAATCACGCAAGTCAATTCCTTATAATAAACCTCTTCCTGTGCACACACACCCTATTGGTTCTGTTTCTCTGGAAAACCCTGACTAATACGGTGAGCTCTAAGAGAAAGGAAACGGGGCCTCTTTTTGCTCATTGCTGCATCCCCACAGTCTGATACAGTACCTGACATATAGTTTGCACTCAACAGATATTAATTAATGAAATAAATGATGGGGCCCCCCTATATCTGGCAGAAGGGTCAGGGTTTCAGGCATCTTAGGTCCACAGGCCTGCGGCGGGGGAATTCGAGAGAAATCATTGTTGTTGCTGCTGCTGCCACAACGTGTTGACTCTGGCGTGCCCGGCAGAGTGCCAGGATCTTACACACATGATGACATTTATTCCTCGTGAATGTCCCACCTTGTGACGCTGTTCTTACTATTTCTACATGCAAATGAGAAGCTCGGGGCCCGGGAGGATCGAATACCTTGCCCGAGGTCACATAGGTACTGAGTGGCAGAGCTGGGTTCGGATTGCAAAGCAACTGCTCCGAACCATTCCAGCTTTGATGGTTTCCAAGGCCTTGCCCCGCCGTCCATCTTGAGTTCAGGGTTCATGGAGCCTCCCGGTGGGTGTGTCCGGAACCCGTGCGGGCCTGTCTGACTGCAAGCCCAGGCTGGTGTCTGCCGCGCCGGGGCTCCTTGTGCCATCTCGGGGCTCCCACTCTGGGTTGGTGGCCCATCAAGCCTGGTTCTGCCTCCCCAGACAGCTCATGTCATGTCACCCACAGCGTGCCCCAAACTGAACCCCAAGCCCTCGCTCTCTCTCAGAGAGACAAAGGGGCTTTCCATTCGCCCCCCCCATTCCCACGTGTCATTTATGCCGACCCTCGGGCATAGCTTTGTTTATTAAGTAACTACTACTGGACCCCCTACTTATGTGTCAGGCCTTGGCAATATGATGTGACCAAAACAGATTTGATTCTTGTCCTCAGCGGGTTCACTGTCTAGAGGGAAATGACATTGAACAACGTCAACATACCCCTGTGCGATGAATGCCAACCTCTAATATCACTTACATCCCCCCAGTTATTTCAAAAGAAAATGTTCTTTCCCTCCTTCCCCCTCCCTTTCAGTTTCCCTAGCTGTATCCTTTTATCCTTCGCCCTTGTATTAAGACTACAGCAAAAGCTTCTAGCTCTCCTTTCTTCCCGATACTACTATGTTAATCTCCCATAAAACATAAATTCCATTAACTCTGCTCTATGGTTACCAGCTAAATGATCACAGAGCTCTCCCCACATGCTAGGACCTGTGGGTCTCAAACTGGGGCACGTGTATAAATCGTTGACTGTTAGGGAGAGGGGGGGTACAGGAAGCCATAGGATAAATGCTGCATCTTTTGGGAACATCAATTTTGCTTGAAATTTGGAAGCTGGGTAGAAATGCAATTATGAAAATTGACAGTAGACATTTTATGGGGGTAAAAAAAATGCAAAAATTCACATAAAATTTTAGAAAGAAAAACAAGATGTCAAAGAAAATCTGTTGTGGTCAGCACCTTCCCCACGGCCACTGGTCTCTGCCAGGCCTGTGCTGTTTTGTCTTTGGTGGCACGATGGGCCACCAGAGAGCATCAGAGAGGTGGGATTGCCCCTGTGTGCCCTTCTTCCGTGGCACAGGACTCACAGCTTGGCCCCAGGAGAGTTGTACTTGGTGGAAAAGTTTAAGAAGAAATGGATACTCTAGAAGCTAGCTCTGGGTATAAAATAGGCACTGAATGAATGAATGCATGCATGCATGAGAACATAAACCTTTGACTCTGATCTTCAAAGACCAACCTTATAATGGACCTTATAAGAACCATCATCCTTATCTGACCTCATTCACTCAATATTCCCCTGTCCCCCAAGCCTGGTACTTCCTGAGACTCTTTCATGTTTCCATGTACTTTATTAATTTCAGAATTTTGCATATTTTATGTGCATTGCCAAAAATACCCTCCTTCCTGCCCATTAGCCTAATCCTACTTGTAGTGCTTTCACACTTGACTACTCAGCCTTTGCCTTCCCCTTCCCCGTGAGGTCTGTCCCAAATGTCCCAGCCTCCTCTGAACGTCCTAACCCCTAATTTTCTCCATCATTCATTTGGGTATTAAAGTGTACACTGCCTTATACCATTGTTCCTGAAATGTTTCCTGGGTACATCCTGCCTCTTTAGCCAAATTTTAAATCATTTGAGTAATGAAGGAAATAAGCCTTTCCTTCCCATTGTATCATTGTTCTTTGTAGTAATGAACACATTTCAGACACAGGAGCATCATGCTGAAGGACCCACCCAATGAATTTTAGTCTATCCAGATGTGTGGTTCTCAACTAGGAGCAATGGTTTCCCCAAGAGGATATTTCATAGTGTCTGGAGTCATTTTTGGTCATCGCAACTGGGCTCATGCTACTGGCATCCAGTGACTAAGGCCAGAGATTCTGCTAAATATCTTACCAGCGCACTGGACAGCCCCCTGCCCCAAACAAAGAATTTAGTGGCCCCAAATTCAACAGTGTACTGTTAAGAAACTCTTGTCTAGTTTATAGAACCTTCTTAATTTTCTTCCTTGTTTCTTTGTCCTCTAGCCAGAACTCAACCTCCCCATCCTCTTGTCTTCTGTCCAGGCAATTTCCCTAACAACTAATCGTGATCATATTCCTCCCTGGTTACTTAAGTGGCTGTTCACTGACTTTGACAAAAAAATGCGAGTTTTTTAATCATGGCCATTACCACCTGGCTCAGGCATTCCTCCTGAGCCTCAGTTTCCTCCTCCGGTCATTCCCTACACACCAGCCATGTCAGTCCCCTGCAGTTCCACAAACATATCATCTTTCAGGCCTAGGCACCTCTGCATATGCTGATCCTCCTGCTTTGAGCACTTTTCCCCTTGTTAGCTTATGTTAAGTGTACTGCTCAGAGATCAGCACTAGTACAAACATCAACAAATATTTATTAAGCCCCTATCCCGGGACAGGCACTATTCTTTTAGGTGCTAAGGAAACAGTAGTGGACAAGACAGACTACACAATGCTCCCCAGCAGCTATTAGCACTCTCTAGTAGAACTTTCTGCAGTGATGCAATGTCCTAAATCTGGAAGCCACTGGCCACACGTAGGCTTTTCGGCACTTGAAACGTGGCTGATTTGAACTGAGACGTGCTGTCAGACAGAAACACCTGCCAAGTTTTTAAAGACTTGGTATGGGAAGAAAAAGAAAGAATGTAGAGTATTTCATTACAATTTTTAGCAGTTATCTCATCTAAGCCCCACGAGAAACCCATGAGGTGGCTGTTACGATTCTCTTGCCCATGACATGTGAGAAGACAGAAGCTCAAAAGGGCCAGGGGCGGGTGGACAAGGTCAGACAGCTAGTAAGCGTGGAGCCCGGTCTGACGCGGGCGTGCGTGACTCTACAACCCACGTCTCACGCCACCGTGCCGTCCACACCAGCTCCCCTGTGACAAACCTCTGGCAGCAAATGAGCAAACAACTGTGACCAAAAGGACCACATCCCTCTCCTAGTCATACACCTGCACAGAGAGTCGGCATGTCACTTGTGTCGCACAGGCATTTAAACAGAAAACTGGGCTTTTGGGAGAGAGATGCATCTTCGTTTCTGGTACTCCACAGCAACCGGGAGTGGCAGAGCAGCAGCTTGCAGAGGGTGACAGCGGGACACGCACAGCTCTAGCCTGTCCTGGACATCCCAGCAGCTGCACATCCTTTAGCCCAGCACTGGGCGTGGACTGCTGCTGAGAGGGACCTCTGCTCTGGGGAGCAGTTTCTTTTCTAGAAACCTCCCTGTGAGCTCCAGGCCCATCTTCTCTACCACGGCACCCACAGTCAGTGCCAGCAGGCCTCACTTGCTCACAGTGAGGTCGTGAGCCTCCGTGCTAAGATCACCTGCCTTAGCCTTCTGCATCCAAGCACGCAGCTGCCACTGGCTTAGGGGCTGCTTTGCTGGCGCAGTGCCCCGAAAACTCCAGCGTGACCCGAGGGCCATCAGTCTAGCCTCACTTTACTCTAAATCCATCCCCTGAAGTTTTTCCCTGGTGCCCACTGGGACCACGGGGACTTCCAGGGTGCTGCTTCCTGCAGACGCAACCTCCCTGAGAAGCCACCAGCCTCCTCGCCAGCTGCCGTTCCCGATGCCTTTTATATTCCCAGCCTCCCACGCCGCTCAGCGAGTCCTGTTAACTCCGCTGCCAAGACCTGTCCAGATGCCACCTGCCCTCCCTTCTCCCTTCCTGCTCACCGCCACGTCCCGGACACCCTTCCACACTCTCCTAACCTGTCCCCTCTGCTGTTCCTTGGGTCCATTCTTTTTTTTTTTTGAGACAGCGTCTCACTTTGTTGCCCAGGCTCGAGTGAGTGCCATGGCGTCAGCCTAGCTCACAGCAACCTCAAACTCCTCGGCTCAAGCGATCCTTCTGCCTCAGCCTCCCGAGTAGCTGGGACTATAGGCATGCACCACCATGCCTGGCTAATTTTTTTTCTGTCTATATATATTAGTCGGCCAATTAAATTTCTTTCCATTTATAGTAGAGACAGGGTCTCGCTCTTGCTCAGGCTGGTTTCGAACTCCTGACCTCGAGCAATCTGCCCACCTTGGCCTCCCAGGATTACGGGCGTGAGCCACCGCGCCCGGCCTCTCGGGTCCATTCTTAATGCATCATTTGGATCATGTCACAGGGTTATTTATTGTTATTTATCTTTGTATCTGACCGTTTTAGAATTGAACGTGAGGTTTCGTCTTTACTGAAATACCAAACTCGGAGCTGACTCCCCAGACTGGCAGTTCCGTCACTCCGGGAAAATACATCGCGTAAGAAAGCAAATATGAAATGACAGTAAGACATTTAATGAGGGGAAAAAAAAATGCCAAAAATTACAATAAAAATTTAGAAGAAAAACAAGAAATTCAAGAAAATCTGTTATGGTCAGCACCTTCCCCATGGCCCACTGGATCTTTGCCAGACCCTGTGCTACATTTGATCATTGTGACACCGATGGCTACACCAGCCACATCAGAGAGTGATTGCCCTGTTCCCTCTTTGGGGAGCAAAAGGGCTCACAGCTTGGCCCAGGGGGAAAGATGTTGTACTTTATGGTGGACTAAGTTAAGAAGAAATGAATACTCTAGAAGCT